TCTCAAACAAAATGAAGGTCACCGGAAAAGTTTCGGGTTTTATCGGTAACGTACCGGGACCACCGGGAGGGTCCCGGGGGTCCACCAAGTGGGGCCACCAGCCCCGGAGGGCTGCATGGGCCAAGTGTGGGAGGGGACCAGCCCCAGGTGGGCTGGTGCGCCCCCCACAAGGGCCCAAGGCGCCTAGGGTTTGGGGAGGGGGCGCCCCACCTAGCTTGGGGGGCAAGTTTCCCCCTCTCCCCCCCTTGGCCGCACCCTAGATGGGTTTTGGGGGCAGCCGCACCCCTTGGGGTGGGAACCCTAGGGGAGGCGCAGCCCCCTCCCTCTCCCCTATATATAGTTGAGGTATTTGGGGCTGCATACACATGAGTTTGACCTCTCCCTGGCGCAGCCCTACCTCTCTACCTCCTCCTCTCCTGCGGTGCTTGGCGAAGCCCTGCAGGATTGCCACGCTCCTCCACCATCACCACGCCGTTGTGCTGCTGCTGGATGGAGTCTTCCTCAACCTCTCCCTCTCTCCTTGCTGGATCAAGGCTTGGGAGACGTCACCGGGCTGTACGTGTGTTGAACGCGGAGGTGCCGTCCGTTCGGCACTAGGATCTCCGGTGATTTGGATCACGACGAGTACGACTCCTTCAACCCCGTTCTCTTTAACGCTTCCGCTTAGCGATCTACAAGGGTATGTAGATGCACTCTCCTTCCCCTCGTTGCTGGTTTCTCCATAGATAGATCTTGGTGACACGTAGGAAAATTTTGAATTTCCGCTACGTTCTCCAACAGTGGCATCATGAGCTAGGTCTATTGCGTAGATTCTTTGCACGAGTAGAACACAAAGTAGTTGTGGGCGTTGATTTTGCTCAATATGCTTACCGTTACTAGTCCAATCTTGTTTCGACGGTATTGTGGGATGAAGCGGCCAGGACCGACCTTACACGTACACTTACGTGAGACAGGTTCCACCGACTGACATGCACTTGGTGCATAAGGTGGCTAGCGGGTGCCAGTCTCTCCCACTTTAGTCGGAACGGATTCGATGAAAAGGGTCCTTATGAAGGGTAAATAGCAATTTGCATATCACGTTCTGGTTTTGCGTAGGTAAGAAACGTTCTTGCTAGAAACCCATAGCAGCCACGTAAAACATCCAAACAACAATTACAGGACGTCTAACTTGTTTTTGCAGGGTATGCTATGTGATGTGATACACTAGTGCAGAACCGGGCAATAGCACCGGTTCGTAAGGCCCTTTAGTGTCGGTTCTATAACCGGCACTAAAGTGTGGGCACTAAAGCCCCCCCCCCCCTTTAGTATCGGTTCAGCACGAACCGGTGCTAAAGGGCAACCACGTGGCATGAGCCAGATCCGGGGGCCTAGAGCCCTTTAGTACCGGTTGGTAAGACCAACCGGTACTATAAGGTTTGGTTTTTTTTTTAGTTTTATGATTTCTTTTTCATTTAACTTTGTGTTTCCATTTT